AGTGGGTTCTTTTGTGTGGCAAGAACCCAAGATTAGGAACTAAAATCTTCAAATGATCTAATAATCTTATACCATCTGTTTTAGTTTTCCTTCTATTATTACAATGTGAGCTCTTTTCACTTTATGAAGATTCCATTATCAACAAGTGGACAGACTTCTCTTTCACCGACATGCATTGAGATAATAACATGAAATGCATCAAACCTACCTTCTCTAAGATGGTTGGTTCCGTTGCATTTGCTAGCTCAAGTAGGCGGAAGAGTCCAATTGCGAAGAACCGACTGTAGCTAAAACTGCCCTTTGTGGCGGCTCTTTTTGAAATGTCTTTTAGGATGTTTTCAACCTCTCCTTCTCTTGATGAAAACTCAACAAGACTATTGGCATTCTGAATGCTCGCCCACGCTTCTAACTTTTGTGCATCAATTCTGGAAAAAAACAACAGGATGCTTAGGGCCAGCTTGGATCACAGTAAACATTAGAGAAAAAACAGTTATTTTCTCAATATTGGTTTTACATTTGAAGGAAAATGGAATATGATTATTTTTATTGGTATATTTATTAGTACGTACGTATATAATGCAAATAGATAGACAAAACGAATTTGAGCAAACATCTAAAAGAAGGCAACCCTCTATTTCCTCTCAAACTTCAATTACTTTTAAATTTTCCCTTCAATTCTGTTTCTCTAGTCTTTTTCAGATTACAAACATACCCTTATTCTGTCAAATATAGAGAAATGTGAATGACATACATAGTAGTATTCAAGGGAAAAACCTGTACTGATCAGGATCCTCGTTCAATGCCTTGATATATGCTCTGAAAATAGCCTCTTTATCCTCCTCGGTCGGATAGCCTTCCATGAGCCGATCATATACCGTAACAAACCCGAGGGAAAAAATGGGATCATACTGATACGATTTCTTGTACCTCATCAAATGCTGCTGCACAATCAGTTCTTGTAGCACAGAACCATACACACTAGGAATCGGCCGTCTGTAAGCCATTAAGAAATTCCTTTTTGTCTCTGCCACGGTGGGCACCTCTGAAGCTGTGAGCACCTCTATTACAACATCAGTGCTACAAATTGTTACAAAAGCCTTTAAACAATTACTGTATTATATTAACACTCCAACAATACCTACAAGAAGAAAATCATACTCTTTTCTTCATTTGAAATTATTAGATCTTTTATATCTCAGCATTCATTTCTTTTTAGCTTCTGGTGATGCCAAAAACTGAAATTCAGCTAAAATTTGGAAATGAATACTCAGTCTATCCCTAGATTGACTTCAATGTTCAGATTTGACATTATTATCTACAACTATAAGCTATACAAAACTTATTTAAGGATGGAAGGAGCAGCTCTGTAGAAGATGAAATTCGGATTCTTACCGGCGGACATGCAGCGAACTGGGGCGCGGGATGTGCGGAAAGGGAGGGAATCGAAGGCGGAGCTGGTGCGAAAGCGAAACACATCTGAAGTGGATGAGAAGGGACAAGCAAAAGGAGATGAAGAGACATTGAATCCCTTCCTCTCCGGTGATTGGCCGAGCGCCGGGAAGGAGAGTGAAGTAACGGCGGCCATTGCCGGAGATGGGAGAAGGGTTTGAAGTGACAGGTGGATTATCCTCAGAGGAAGCGGAAGTGGTTTTCCATATGGAAGAAAGTTAAAGTTCTCAGAATGAAATGGAAGGTGAGGTTCGGATTTTGAGGCTTATCCACTTTGACACTTTGGTCATTGGCATGCATAAAAGTGTATTTGGATATCTCTTATTTTGAGAAATTAACGTATCTCATGTTTTTAAAATATACTTTGGAGTTCTTTCTTTTTTGATAAATTAACCTTTAAGTAACTCACATTATAAAATATATCTGAGATAACTCCAAATATATATTAACTTATCCGTGAAGAACATTCTGTTTCACTCGAAAGCTTCGATTAAACTGGATAGATCGTATCCTTAAAGTATAAGAACCAAGATTATTTTTGGAATTTTAGACCCATTTTCATAAAATTATTGGCGTAACTGGCTTTGACGGAGAAGGAGACAGAATGTCCCTCACAGATAAGTTAATTAGAAATCACTCTAAATAAGACCAAAACATAGAAAAATACCAAAATAGGACTTCCATGTTTTTATTCTTGAAATAGAAGTTTGCACTGTGGACTGTGGTTATGTGGAGGTAATGTGGCACTGTACACGTGCACATTACTATACTTTTTGGTAATGTACATGACCACCTTTGGTTATGTACACGTGCACATTACTATTCTTTTAGGTAATGTAAATGCATTTTAACTCATATTTTGGGAATAATAAAAAAATGCATTTTAACTCATATTTTAGGAATAAAAACATTGAAGTCCTATTTTATTTTATTTTTAATGTTTTACTCCTAATTTAGTCTTTTTCCCTAAGTCCTATTTATTCTTTTAAAAATGTGAGGTACTCGGTAATTAGTTTCTCAAAATAGAGGGTACTTCAGAGTATATTTTAAAAATGTGAAGTACCCACCAGTTAGTTTCTCAAAATAAAAAGTACCGAGAAGTAGTTTTTTGATTGACATGTTTCATTATTATAAGGGATTTGCTAAGTGTACCTAATATGGTGTAGATTTGGAATACATCACATTTTTTCCTTATCATTATCAATCTAAAAGAATAAATACTAAAATCCTCATCTTTTATACTCCGTATTAGAATTTCAGAGTTGTATTTGCTTATTCCGAAAAAAATGGATGGGGTTGGAAAAAAATTGTAAAGAATTGAAAAGTTTTACATGAATAAAATGTTAAAAAGTGACTTAATTAAATGATCATTAAAATAAATATGTAAAAGATTCTAATTTTAGATAAAAAGAATTTATTCTTGTCCATGTTTGAGGTGATATGTTATAAGTTTTGATATGTTAGATAGAGTATATATATTTCATATATGTAGTACTGGGCCTTCGTATACTAGTCTAGCCCAATGGTCTATTGTCTCTATATATATATAATATATTGTATTAGACCTTTACGTATTACTTGAGCAATACTATTATTCCATCATGGTATCAGAGCTGAGGCTACACGAAAAACAAAAACCCAAACCCTAGCCGCTTACGGCTCTCTCTCTCTCTCATCACTGTCGCACGGTCGGCAACTCTTTCTTCTTCATCCGAAAGATGTGCCCTCTCCATGGCGAAACATACAGATCCTCTTGATGCTCTTCCCACAGGGTTGAAGCTGTTTATCAAAAATCTTCATTCTCTCACACCAGAAAAGCTTGATGACACCAACTTTCCCTCTTGGATTGCTACAACTTCTGCTAATCTCTCTGCCCACAGATTAATGGGATATGTCGACGGCTCAATACCAGCCCTGCCGGCCACCATCACAGTTCCTGCCGACAAAGACACAGCCGCTGATGTTATTCCGAACCCAGAATTCGAGGTTTGGTCTGTTATTAACGCTCAATTGTGTGCCTGCCTGCTTGCGATTGTCACTCCCTCTATACAACACAATCTTCATGGCTTGGACACCGCTGCTGGTACATGGAATCATCTCCAACTTCGGTATAACTCTCTCTCTCGAACACATATTTTCCAGTTAAAAGAGCAACTCCATAATGTTAAAAAAAGTGATGACTCCATGCAAAAGTATCTTGATTCCGTTGTCAAAATTGTGGCTGCCTTGGATCGCTCAAAAGCGGGTGTTCCTGAGCAAGATGTTGTTCTCGCTGTTCTTCGTGGGTTACCCTCAGACTATGCCTCCATTAAGCAGAACATCCGTACCAATATTGCCACAGTGACTTTTGCTCAGGTCTCGTCATGGCTATTGGCTGAAGAACTCAACCTCCAGATGGAACACAAACTTCAGGTCCGTGACTCTTCTTCGTCGGTTGAACCCCACGCAGCCCTCTTTGCTCAGTCCGGTTATGCTGGACGTGGCCGTGGTCGAAATATGCAGCGAGGCCGAGGTACTTACTCTGGCCGTGGGGGCCCTCCTGGGCGTGGCAGCTCTACTAAGGGGCGCGGCAGTGGTGCTCCTGGACGTGGTCGTGGTCCCTCCCGTGATTCCATCGTGTGCCAAATTTGCGGGAAATATAATCATGCAGCGTGGGACTGTTGGCATCGATTTGATTCTGAATATAGTGGACCGCCACCACCGCCACCGCCTCAAGCGTTCTATGCGTCACAATCTGCTCCCTCCAATGATAACTGGTTCTTGGACACTGGTGCTAATACCCATGTCACTTCGGATCTGTCACGTCTCTATTCATATACACCATACTTCGGTGCCAATTCTGTGACTAGTGTAGGTGGTCATCCTCTTCCTATTGCTCATGTTGGCTCAGGTAAAATTCCTACTGCCTCTGGTATTTTCCACCTTGGTAACCTCCTTCATGTACCTAACCTTAAAACTCACTTACTCTCTGTTTACCGTTTCACCAAGGATAATAATTGCACTCTTCTTTTTAATTCCAATGAGTTTCAGATCCTGGACAACACCTCCCACAGGGTGAGATACAGAGGCCGATGTGAGCAAGGACTTTACATGTTACTTTCCAATTATCAAGCGTCATCCTGTGTTGAGTCGTCTCCATCCGTGCGATCTGCCGTTCTTACATCTGAAGATTGGCATCGTCGTTTGGGACATCCTTCTGTGTCAATCACCAAACGTTTACTTTCGTTTCTAGGTTTTTCATTATCTAATGTATCCCATTGTCACTCTTGTTCTGTTTCAAAGTCACATAAATTACCTTTCTCTTTATCTTATACTGCTGCAACTACGCCTTTTCAATTAGTGCATTCTGATGTTTGGGGTCCTACTACTGTGTCTTCCTTTAGTGGTTATTATTACTATATCAGTTTTATTGATGACTTTACAAAATTTTCCTGGTTATTTCCTTTAAAACAAAAATCTGATGCGTTTGGTGCATTCCAAAGTTTTCAGTTCATGGTTCAAAATCAATTTGGCTCCACTATAAAATTATTTCATACTGATAATGGCCGTGAATATGTTAACAATAAATTTGGAATGTTCTTACAACGACTTGGAATTTTACATCAAAAAACGTGTCCTTATACCCCTGAACAAAATGGGGTTGCGGAACGCAAACACCGTCATCTTATTGAAACTGTTATCACTCTCCTTCATACAGCTAACTTACCTGTAATTTTTTGGACTGAGGCGCTAGCCACAGCTAATTTTTTAATTAATCGCTTACCAAAAAAATCTCTTGGCAACATCTCACCTTTTGAGAAACTATATGGTGAAGCACCTGATTACTCCTATTTGCGTGTGTTTGGGTGTCTTGCCTATCCTCACCTTAGGTATGAGGTTGATCACAAACTTCAGCCTCGCTCCAAGGCATGTATTTTTCTGGGTTATGAGCCTCTTACAAAAGGTTATCGTTGTCTAGATCCCGACACTCACAAGGTCTACGTCACACGTCATGTTCGTTTTCATGAGTCTCAGTTTCCCTACAAGGATCGCCTTCCATCCTCTGTGTCATCGGCATCCACCTCTTCCCAGTCTTCCACCTTCTTCGGTGTTCTTCCTCTGTTCCCCAATTTTCCAATTGTCCAACAAAGTCCTGCTCATGTCCCTCTGCAATCTCACCCAATCTCAAACACCTCACCAACTCAACCAACAATTCCTGCTACTATACCTGAGCTGTCGTCAACCTTGAGCACCTCCCAGCCGATTACCACTGCCCAGCCGCTTCACACCTTCCAGCCGACCAACATCTCCCAACTGTCACACCCGATTTCACAAATCGACCCTTCCCGTGAATCTGCCACCGAAGCATCCCCAACACCCCATACCCAAATACCCCGAGCCCCAAGTCACCCGATGACCACTCGTTCCAAGAGTGGCATCTTTAAACCAAAAATCTATTCCTCGACTATACCCTTTGATGAACCACCTCAAACCGAACCCACCTCCTATAAGCACGCCTCACAGAACAAATATTGGTGTCAGGCTATGGATGATGAATTTGAGGCATTACAGAGACAGGGTACTTGGATATTGGTTCCACCTCCTCCGGATCGGTTTCCCATTGGATGTAAGTGGGTTTATCGCATAAAACGTAACTCTGATGGTTCTGTGTCTCGTTACAAAGCTCGTCTTGTTGCAAAAGGCTATGATCAGGAATATGGTTTGGATTACTCTGAGACGTTCAGTCCTGTGGTCAAGCAACAAACAATCCGTGTTGTCTTATCTATTGCTATGCATCACATGTGGCCTCTTCATCAGCTTGATGTTTCTAATGCGTTTTTACATGGTGAGCTGAAGGACGAAATCTATATGACACAACCTCCCAGATACATTGATCAGCGTTATCCTCATCATGTTTGCAAGTTACAGAAGTCTCTCTATGGCTTAAAGCAGGCTCCCCGGGAATGGTATCTTCGCCTCTCTTCTTTCCTAACGGCTCAAGGTTTTACAGTCACCACTCATGATACCAGTCTTTTTATTAAGCATTCTCCGCAGGGCACTCTTATTCTCTTGCTGTATGTTGATGATATTGTTATCACTGGCTCCTCCTCTACTCTTATTCAGAACTTTATTCAGAGTATGCATCATGAGTTTCAGATGAAAGATCTTGGTCCTCTTAAATATTTTCTGGGCTTGGAGGTTCAGCGCACACAGGATCAGCTTCTTCTTCATCAGACAAAGTATGCCGGTGAACTCATTCATCGGGCCGGTGTAGACACGGCTACCGCTGCCCCCACGCCGATCAGCACCAGCACCTCCACCAACGGGGCGGACATTCCGTTTGCTAACCCTCGGCTCTTCCGTAGTCTTGTTGGTGGTCTCCAATATCTCACGGTTACTCGCCCGGATATTCAGTTTGCGGTTAACTATGTCGCTCAAAAAATGCACAATCCTACGGAGCAGGATTTTCACACATTGAAGCGTTGTAACACCCTAATCCGTCCAGGTCTGCAGCCCCTTTCAGACTAAAGTATTAACTTGGTAATCATAAAATTTTAAACATTTCAAATACCTTTATTCATAATAAATATTATTTAATACATAATTGTAATAAAATGCAGTGTTTAACAATAATGCGGAAGCAAATTAAACCATGTTTAATAACAACATAATTATTTATTTAAAATCACCATTTCCACCACGACAGTCTCGCCCCTTCTGCTGCCAGGAACATGCCAATCATTCATTCTGCCTACCTGCGTGTAGCAAATAAAACATACTACACGCTCAGCGATGAAGCTGAGTAAGCATATCTAAAGCGTCGAACATCCACATAAATTGAATCTCAATTCACAAATAACCATTTGATATCATGCACACAATATATAATTCATTCATGATATTTTTAATATTTTTATTTCAATATCTCAATATTCAACATTCATATTCAATATTCAATATTTAACAATATCCTTAAACCATACCTAGTCTAAGGCCAATTCCATTCTTAAACTAATTCTAGTTCAAGATATCCTAATCCTTAAGCTAGGCCTAGTTTAAGATATATATATTTTTAAAGAGAGTTTTTAAATCTTAAACTTACCTTCACTTAAGGTCAACCAAAAACCGACAGCGTAGTGTTCACTGTTGGGT